TCTTGTTAATAGTATTTGCAAATGCTAAAGCCATTTGATGTACCACAAATCGTTCATTAATGTGAGTAAAAAATGTATCCAAAAGTGAAATAAAAACGATTATATAGTAATACTCAATTGAGTCCACTTTAATAGGGAAACGATTGTTTGCCTAGGTAGTTGGGATTTGGTAAATTTTAAAATCATACAATCTCGCTTTTACATTTAAAGTTTCGTGAAATTCTTGGACGATATTATCACTTTGTTTTCTAAGTTGTAATATAATAATATTCGTGTAGCCACAGCAATATCCACTTTATTTTTTTGAAAAATACTGCATAAAACTGTTGTGTTATTAAATAACATAATAACACATTCCAATACGGAAAAAAAGGCTGTCCTATTGAATCAAATGTATCATCTATTTCAGGCACTTGATATTTTTCCAAGACAATTTAAATAGGCTCTTCTTGATCCAAAAATGCTGTAACGCCTTAATTTTTCCATCAAATCGGAAGTGCTTTTTGCAGTTTTTCTTCTTAAAGCACGAGACGTCTTAATAGATTCTATTAGAGATCTGCAAAGTTAGGCCTCGAACCTAATTCTATTTAAAATAATCGAGTTCGGGCCGGGCCTAATATTTTTAAAAAAAATTTTGGGTCGGCTCGGGTCGGACCTTGGAAATTTTATTAAATATATCTAAATTTAACAATTTTATATTGAATTTTTTATGTAAAATAAAAATTTTGATTTAATTTATTGAAACCAAACGCTATATAACATATGTCTTTTATTTTAAGTATTATAAAAATTAATTTCTATATTTAAATAAATTCGGGCCTGGCCGGTAAATTTTTTTAAAATAAATTTTGGGCCAGGCCGGGCTTGAAAAATTAGGCCCGATGCAGATTACTAGATTCTATATTTCGCTAATAGATTTACTATCAAATTGTGATGAATAATCAGTTATTATTTCTGTCTAAAGGGTTTGGTAAATTATTATATTACTTTTAGAGTTTTGTTCATAATATTTTCTTATATCCATTAGCGTTTAAGGATTAAAAATAATAGAAAATATGCTTCAAATTTTCGGGGAAAAAAATATTAATACATGATAACTACACAGAAGGCAACGATAAAAAAATTTAATTTCTTTTATTTAATTTATTAACAAATATATGTGTCTCTATTTGACAAATTTCTATTCTATATATACATCTTTTATATATGATTATTTACATATACAAAATTTAAGAAAAGAAGAATTTTACAAAATTTAAGAAGAATTTATTTTTAAGGTTAAAGAAAAAGGATTTATTCTAATTTTACATATAACAAAGTAGAAAATGAAAAATTAATAAAGTAAGAAAATACAATTTTGTTTTTAAAGTTAAATAATTTAAATGACCTTAAAAAGTTTTATTTTATATTTAACAATACATAAAGAGAAATTTAAAAATTAATTTTTACTTTTCCTACAATTTAAAATAGAATATAACCTTTTGAATTAGAATCTAACTTATTTGAAATAGAATAATCAATTCATTCTCACCCTTCCCCCTCCCGCTGGTTATGCGTGTGCTCGATGTGATTGCCTATAACTTTAGAGGGAATCTGACATAAAAAAAAGTGTCAATTTGCCAAATTCAATAGCGCCACTAAAGGGGAGTGGTACAGGAGCTCGAGCTCCCTGAAAAAAAATCCACTGAACGAAATTTTTTTTAATGACTCCCTATAGCCCCTGAACAAAAAAATAATAAAATTTTTGATAGCCCTTAGACCGATTTTATTTTAGAATTCAATGTATTATATATAGATTTAATACTACTTTTAAAATTGTTAACAATTGCAAAAATTCTGTGTAAAAAATGGAATATCAATATCACTCATAATGTCTAAATATCAATCAAACATTAATAGTTGAAGCGTAATTGATTACATTTTATTTAAATTATATTCTAATTAAATAAATATAATCGTTCTATTATTGAAAATAAGGTTAATACAATATAATGTGATTTGTGTTAGCCGAGCTTAAAATCACTAATAAATAATATTACTCATTTTTAAATTTAATTTTATATGTCTCTTTCTAATAAATTTCTAAGTTCCAAACCAACGAAACTTCTTAATAAAATTCATAGTATATTTAATTAAATATCTTTTACTAATTTATTTTATATTTATTAGATAATGTGATGATTTTTAAATAGAAGAAGAGGAGATAATTAAGGAATTGAAGTTCAATCTGCATCTATATGAGCGATAGTGGTAGGAATAGATTGCATTAAGTATTTTATGAGGGGGTAAGGGGAAGCATTTAAATGGGGTAGACTAGGGGTAGGATAAATTTATGAAGGGTCATCTCTTAAATTTTTGTAGAGAAAATGGAGTAAAATATATAGCTGTAAAAATTAATAGTTTTATTATAGACCAAATATAATACAATGATATTGCTAAACATCGACCAAATCTATATATTGCACACAATCATAGACATTATTTTCCAAATAAAAAAATTCTGAATCAGTTTCTGCTACCCTTCTAAAAGTTATTTAAAAGGGTTTGAGATTCTATCAGTAAACTCATAATCATGCCAAACAATATACTATAATAATACATTCATTGTAAATGTAATTTTTTAATTGAATTCATGTTCTAAAAAAATAACTATTTTATGTTCACAATGTTTTGATAGTTGTCAGTAGAGCATAATAATTTAAATTATTCTTTTTAAAATTTATGAAGGGACCATTATAATTAAAAATAATGTAAAAATATCGCTTCCAAATTGTTTTTTGAGAAGGGCGAAGGGGGGGGGGGGTAGGTTTTAATTTTTGAGGAAGGTTTGTATCCAGTGAATATTCTGTTAGGAGACGTTAAGTCCAACAAAGTATATTTAAAATACAGTCTTTCAATTTCAAACTAACTTTTGATAATAAAAGAAGATTAACTCTAGTTTTGAGAAATATAACTGATGAAAGCAAAAGTGAAAGAAGGTGGGTAAATTAATTTATATATAAGATATTATATTTGTAAAATAATGGGACCTATATGTTAGATTGAATCTGAAGATATGGACAATGATGGTAATAATTTTTTGATAAAATTAAGTTAAAATTCATTATAGACAAGGATCTACTGAGGATGCTATAGCAACTCTGATTATTTATAGCAACAATCCATATAAAAGTATATTGGATATGGATAATGCAGAAGTTATAGTTCAACAAAGAACAAATGGAATACTCTTTCAAATTAATTTACTAATTTTATTTAGCTTTTTTGGATGATGAAGAAAGAAGATTTATTATGAACGCGAGAGTTATAAATAATGTAAGCAAAAAAGTAAAGAAAATAGATTAATTTATATAAAAGTTATTTTATTTATAAATAAAAGAATCTATATGTGAGATTAAGGAGATAGGAACAATTATACTAATAACTTTATATTATAATTAAGGATAAAATTAGATATTCGCGTGGAATCTGATGAGGATGCTATGGCAAGTCTGATTGTTGGTAGCAACAATCCATATAAAGGTATATTGGATAATGAAGAAGTTGTAGCTTAACAAAGTAAATTTCATGAAATTCACTTTTAAATTAATATTATTTAGATTTCTTGAATAATGAAGAAAAAAGATTGAATGAATGATAGAGATTAAAAAAATGGTTGCACAGCATTATATTATAATTGCATGACTCAATGTGAGTTGCTAAACACTATATTGCCTTGCAGCGTCTACATGGCAGAAAATTTAATGGAGGCAACCCCCCCCCCCTTTACAAAATCTACCCCATACCCCCCCTAAAAATATAAGCTGTTTGAGTAACTCTATTGATATTAATTAAAGAAGAAAATATAATCTGGGAATCTTCAATATTGAATGTTTGCTAATTATTAAATAAATAATTGGAAAGGATTTATTATATTCTTATTGAAATTTATATTAAAATTAAACATATGTGCATGTTAACCTCTATACTTTTAGGAAATTAGCAAATAAGAATAATATTAATATTTTACGTGTGAAATTGTAAAATATTATGGTAAAAAAATAATAAAAAGGCTTAAAATTTAAATAGAAAAAAATTTATAGTTTCTTATTATTTGTTTCTTTTTAATTGATATTTGTCAGAATAAAATCAACAATAAACATCATATCTCAATTATTGAATTTAAAAAGTATAATTCAAGTCAAAAACTACCTACCAAAAATCAATGCCACCAAAAATTAATGTCTACCCCCTCAAAAAATATCTACCCACCAAAATGCCAATGCATTTTGGAGACATTTGTCTCCTACCCACCCTGGCCATGTAGACACTGTTGCCTTGTGTAGAAAACTTTAGTATTTTAGTCATCATTTAACATTTTAGTAATTTAGATATCATTTACACTTTGGTAATTTAGTCATCATTTACATTTTATTCACTTTATTAATTCAATCACAATTCATGTTTTATTTATCAATCGTAATACAAAAAAATCATGAAAAGATAAGTGATGTCAATAATCTATTAAGAAGTTAACCAACACCTATTATATGAAACGTAAATATATATAATCATATCTTAATGACGAATATAACACATAATATGTAAATAGAATATTACAATAAATTACTCCTTTACTACAAAAACTATTATCAATTGAGACAGTGTAGAAACCAGTGTCTACATGAGTTGTAGGGGTGGGAATAGTTTACATCCAATTTTTATTGAGGGTGGTAGGCCTTTAAGGGGAGTAGACTAGGGGTAAGATAAATTTATTGGAGGATTATCTATTAAATTTTTAGATAAAATAGAGCAAAATGTATTGCTGTAAAAATTGATACTTTTATTATAGACTATTATAATACAATGATATTGCTAAACATCTACCAAATTGCACACGACATTATTTTCCAAATAAAACAATCTCTGGATCACTTTATGCTCTCATTGAAAAGGGTTAGACATTCTAAGTAAACTCATATTCATGCCAAACAATATTATTACATCTGTCAAATCTGACGGAAATTAGCATAAATTCATTATATTTTTTAAAAAAAATTTGAATCCGAAATGGAAAATAATAATCTAGATATTAATGACAATCACAGTGTTGCAGATCATTATATAGATGGTCTAACTTTTTTAGAAGGTATTAATTAAATGTTTATAGGCCAATTTTGCTTTAGAAAATCAAGGTACTACTCTGAAGGATCTATCTAATTTATTAGATAAAACTCAAGCTATTTATTCTCAAGGTAATTTCTTTATGATATTCTAAAATTATATATTTCTATTAGTAAAGGATATTGTCACATTGAAACTTGATGCCCAACTCTTGGCATCACTTGCTAAAACATTTGAAAAATATGTTGAAGATAATCCAATTTGTGAAGATTTATATCCCAAATATGACCCAGATAAATGGGCTAAAAAATTGGTATACTAGCATTTATGTTAAATTATTATATGATTAATTAAAGAAAAAAACTATAAATTGTTCTGAAATCAATCAACAATTTTGGAATAATTTAAGTGGCCATATTCACTTTAACTTAACTGAACCTTTTAATTTTATGTAAGAAATAATGTTATTTATTAAGCATTAATCATGAATTTAAAAGGTATGGGACTAATCTTCAAACTTTCACTGAAAATCAGAATCTGATAACAAATCAATCCACAACATCAGGTTCAAAACAAGATTTAAAATCTGATAAAAACACAACAAGAATAAATTATAAAGAAGACCGGAATAAAAATGAAAATTCTCTGAGGCGAGCAACTAAAATAAATCAATCACAAATCTTTAATTCTAATAATCCAAATGACACGACTACAAATAATGAAGTTGAAAAAATTTATAAAATTCTGTACAAAAATGTGGACCAAGATAACACTGTGCCCTTTTGGCCTCTAGTTGTGAACACAATCTCTTTTGAAAAAACAATTCTAAATATTTTCCACATATCTTTTTTATTGAAGGATGGACATGTCACTCTTTTAATCAACAAAAATGATAAGGTTAATGATACACATGATACATCTGAAGAGGAGGGAATTGATAGACTTGTGGGTACATATCAACCTAGACTAAAACTTTTACAGTCTAATGAAGAGATTCAAGTTGACTTAGCTGATGATTTACCTGAAAATAATCAATTTCTTTTTACTTGTTTGGAATTAACAAAAAACCAATGGACACTTTTAAAGCGTGTTGTTAAGCCCATTAATTAAAATAATAACATTGATCAGATCATTTTAATTATAAATTTTCTTGTACAGATAAAAGAAATACAATACTCAATCAAGAAATTATTTTTTGATAATTGATGAACACTAAAAAAGAAATTTTATATAATATATATACACAATTAAAAATAAATATAAAATACATTAAAGAAATAAAATTTGAGAGAGATATAGGCACAGATAAAACTATCTCTTTGAGAATTTCAATTAGAAAATTTAGGGGGATTATCTATTAGACTGCTTACTTCATTTTATATAGCTTAAAACAGAATTTTATGAGCCATGGTCTAGGATTAACTTGATATAATCGAAGAGATAGCTCAAAACATTTATTTTGATGATCTATTAGTTGCATTCCTCAATTGTTTTTTTCATGAATAATCACAAAAAATATGGTATACAACTGGTAAATATTTAAAAAGAATTTAACCATGAATAATAAAAGTAACTAATAAATAAAAAGAGAAAATCACCACATAATGAATCATGGGCAAAAAGTTATAAAATATATATAAAAATTTTGGATTGGGTTTTTGGCCTAATCTGTAATATTTTATTGCCCAATCCAAGATACAATTTTGTAAAAATTATTCATTCCTGCCAGTAATATTTTTTTACAAAAGAAAAGGCATAATTTTTTTGTTCCAAATTAACATTTCTTTTTTTAAAAAAATAAAATCCTGCCTCAATTTAAACGAGATGTATTACTTTTTTGTTTTTTCTAAATTAAAACACAATAGCTCAATTTGTGCGCACTATTATTTATTGTAATTTTATCTTTAAAACTGTCATACAATATACTACATATTATATTACTAATAATTTATAATTATAAAAAATATAGAGTATAACAATTGTTAAAAAATATGCATATTTACATGCATTCAGATCTTATAAAATAGCTGTTATCATCGATTCAAATATTAATATAAGGTCTAGAAAACATCTTGTATACACTTGGAATGTGATTAAGGAACTTGATTTTGATTGTATTTACAATTATAATTATCCCGACCTCGAAGATGATTTTGAATCATATGCAAAAGAAAGATATAAAAAGTCAAAATATTTTACTATCAATCCTTAAACTTTCAGTTATTAGAATTAAATTTTTTAAAAATTAATGAAGAATTTATTTAATTGATAACATGACAATTGTCAGTATTTATTTTTAAGAATTAACAACAAAACTAAATTATTCGATTTTTATTTATAAATTGCATTTTATATACACAACTGCAAGCCTGTTCAATATAATCTTTTTTAAATTTTGCTCTAATTTATGGTATCTCAAAAAAATTTAATAAGACAAATTTTATTTCGACAATTTTTCAACACCTTCCATCTACCCAATCTGTGTTCCATTCCAACGGTGGCTACCAGATATTTGCCATCTCTAGAAAACTCCAAAGAATTTACGAAACCTGGCTATAATTAATGGAAAAAATTATTCTTTAAAATATAAATATTTGGTTGATTTATATAAATAGGTTAAAAACCAATTTTGAAAAGTAACTATTTATATTTACAAGTTATATCCTTAAAATAGTAACTACACAGTTACTAATTAGAGTTATTTTTAAAAGTAAACTTGATACATTTTAAATTTGAGAAACATATAAAGATAAAGAGTTCTAGTGATTCAATTCTGATTTTAGAGGGGAAATTTAAAAAAAATGAAGATAATAATTATATTCGACTAAATTAAATTTATTTAAAAATTAATTACAATATTTATATAAAGTGACTAATTATTTTTGTCATCAAATTCAAATGCAATTTTCGTAAAAATGTAAAGAAGATTAATTTTGTTTTTAGAATAAATAATAATTATATATAATTTTATTGAAAATAAATATATACATACAAAGTATTACCATAGGTATCGAAAAAAGTAAGGAAACGGTTTTATAATTTGGCCCGCATCTCCAAAAACTTATAAACGAATCGCTAGATCCTTAATAATGATAATTTTATCGTAATAAATAATTTTCTCGTAAAATACTTATTTTAACACTTAAAGGTCTAAGATGGTACCCTGTTCTACATCATGAAAAGCTCATATTTATCTGACTTGAGATAAAAATTAACCAGTTGTAGGTAAAAAATATGTCACATTGCCGTTCGTTCTACGTTTCGGAACACTTTTCTAAAAATTGTCTTTCTATTTTATTATACAAATTTTATTCATAAATCTTTTTAATATGATAACTAGATTAACTGGCTCTAATATAAATTTTAGTGTCGAAAAGTGCTGACCTCTATTTCGGGTTCCACGTTTTTATAGAGGAACCAATATCTTTGATTTAATAGAAGCATCATAATTGTGTCCTACCTAAAAACCAAAACCGTCAATTGAAGGTTTCTATATAAGATATTATAGCGAATGCATTACCGCCAATGTATTATAGCGAACGCATAACCGCAAATGCATTATGGCGAATATAATACAGTGAAAATATTATAGGGTATGCATTAGCGCGAAAGTGTTATCGCAAATGTATTACCGCGAATCCTTATTGCGTCGCGTCGCCATCAAGATTATTTAAATATTTTCGAAAAAATTAAAAATTTCGAAATTCATCTTGATCCTAAGTCTATAATGACAGACTTTGAATTGGCAGCCATATCAGCTTTCAACCAATCTTTTAGCTGATAACCGTGGATGTTTCTTCCATATGTCTCAATGCATATGGCGCGCAATTCAAAAAAATGCAATAATTTGTATGTCATATATGACAGAGCCAAATTTTGCTTAGCAAATTAAGATGTTATTATCACTGGCATATGTGCCAGTGGACGACATAATCCATGGATTCGAGGTGCTAGTTGGTTCTGAATTCTATCAAGAAAGGCGGGATATTCTCCAACCTTTGATAGAATACTTCGAGGAGACATGGATAATAACAATAGAGAGGAGATCCCCATTGTTTAGTATTTCATTATGGAATTGCTATGATTCCACTCTGATACAAGCTCCAAATACCAACAATGCAGTAGAAAGTTGGCACCGGAGTTTTTCTTCCCATATAAGTTCCCATCATCCAACCATTTGGAAATTTATCAAAAGTATGAAATATATATTATATTAAAAAAATTTAAAAATCTTATTTAATTTTTAGCTCTCAAAGGTGAAGATAGTCTTAATTGCTATAAATTAGAGCAATATTCTTTGGGACTATCGGCTCCATTCTCAAAGAAACAATATCGGGAAAGAGCTCAACGGGTGTATAGAATAGTCGAAGATTACTATTCAAGGCCCATATTAGATTACCTAAGGGCATTGTCCTACAATATTAATTTAAATTATATAATTAAATTTATATTATATACAATGTATATATGCATTTGTTATGAATAAAAATTATAAGTATGTTGGAGAATATCTCGCCTTTCTTGATAGAATTCAAAACCAACTAACACAATCCATGGATTATGTCGTCCACTGGCACATATGCCAGTGATAATAACATCTTAATTTGCAAAGCAAAATTAGGCTCTGTCATATATGAAATACAAATTATTGCATTTTTTTGAACGGCGCGCCATATGCATTGAGACATATGGAAGAAACATCCACGGTTATCAGCTAAAAGATTGGTTGAAAGCTAATATGGCTGCCAATTCAAAGTCTGTTATTATAGACTTAGGATCAAAATGAATTTCGAAATTTTTCGAAAATATTTAAATAATCTTGATGGCGACGCGACGCTATAAAGGATATAAATGGCAGGAATAATTGTGTCGTATTTCATTCCATGGATGGTATAGATTTGTTGGAAAGTGGAGGGCATGTTTTGAAGGTGCCATCTGCATACCATTTGTCGCACGTTGATAGGAACTGTATATTTTTTATTGTTGAAAATATTAAGCATCGATGATTATGGTGACCACTATCATATAATAAAAATTGTTGCCCGTTATTATTTATTTGATATTCAATAGGGATTAATAGGTCAATTAAATTAACAGGAACGCCCTTCCTACTAGGCGTAGTTTTCTTTGAATTGTTCTTTTGATTAAGGAACAACTTGGCATTCTCCCCATAGCCGCCGTAGATATATTGGTTGCTATATCCGCTATTATATTATTGGGTAGTTTACGAGGTAGTTGCCTTTTCCTTTTCGATTTATTTCTTTTCTTGCTTCAATTTCGGCAATGTCTGGAACATGATTATGCATTTGATTATGAAATATAACTCCAGATTTTGTCCTTTCCCTTCCATTGCACTCCTCCAAGTGAAATTAAACACAATGCCAATAACTTGTATCGTTAATAAGCTTCTCTCGTTGAAATATAAATGATTCAAAAATTAGTAATTGATTGACTGCTTAAAATAAATTCAGCCATTAAAATTTATGTTCTTTAAAAAAAATTTAGATTGAAAAATTTAATGAATATTTTTCTTATATCCAACCTTATATATAAAATAAATGGTAAGAATACAGAGTACAGACACAACGGTTCTATTTTAAAATTTTTTTAATTTCGACTCCGTGAAAAAAATCCTTTAAAAAAATAAAATAATTGTAAGTTTAAATTCAAAAAAAAATTTAGATTTCAAAATTAATGATAATTTTTCTTAAATCCTAATGTATATAAAACAAAACTTAAATAATTGTAAGTTTAAACTTTTATTATAATTTTTATTTATTTGTATTTTCATAAAGCAAAATTCAATCAATATAAATTTTTTTTATTTTCATTTTATTTTTCTCAACAACAGTGAATTATATTTGTCCATATTTTCTATGTTTTATATTTTTACATAAAAAAACATGCCAGATGCCGTCATATAAATTCTCAGAACCCTTAAATAAAAAAAAGGGAAAATAATAAAAAATTATTCACTTCAAATGAAAAGAAAATTTTTTTAGAAAATTTTGTCAATATTTAGTGCTTTGTGCATTATTCTAGTCTGCATAGCCCGGCCCCGATTTTTTTAAAATATATTATATATTTTTAATTTGCCTAGATAAAAATGGTGATTTAAAATATTTGGTTTTAAAATATATGGCCCGGCCCGTGTATTTAAAAAAATAGAATTTTAAGCTCGGCCCGGGTATATTTAAAATAATTAATATACGGCCCGGTCCGTGTATCCGGGCCGGGTTTAAAGGGCCTGTAGGTCTCTGATTTATAGTGCGCGTTTCTAATTTCCCTGATAAATCTGATTTTACCAAATCTATTCCGAAGAGAATCTACCCTGGGAATTTCATACGATTTCGCCAAAATTTTTTGTATTTAATAATTTATAATGAAAATCTATATAATTTAATAAAGATTAAGGTAAGGGCGATAGTTTGATGGGTATTTTGTTCTATTTTTGCATTTTAAATCATAAATTGAGCGCGTTTTATTAAATTTTAAATCTGATTTTGCCGAAAATGCATTCCAATATGTGTAGAATACCCACCCTATAAATTTCAGAAGATTTTATATTGAACTTCTGAAGAAATTTTAATTTACATTAATCTGAAATTTATTAGTGTTAGTAGCCTAAAAATCGGCTAAACCTAATTTGGCTTAACCGAAAAATCGCCTAAAACTAATTAGACAAAATGTAGGGACTGGGAGCTAGGCTAATCGCCCGTCAGCGTTACGCAACACTAAGCCTAGCCTTTATTAAAATTATTTTATATATTTATTCTGTAACGATATATGACGGGCAATTAACCGAGCTCCTTTTTTTAAATAATTAGTTTTCGCCTATTTTTATGCTAAGCCTAATTATGCTTAGCCGATTTTTTAACCTAAAAACTTGGCTAACCGTTTTGGAATTGCCTAAAATTAACCGATTGCGCAACATTAAGGGTGGGTATTCTACACTTATTCAGATGCATTTCTGGCAAAATCAGATTTTTAAATTTAATAAAACGCACTCAATTAATGATTTTAAATGCAAATAAAAAAAATAAAACAATACCCATCAAACTATCGCCTTACCAAAATTAAGTTTAGTTAAAAGATCACTAGAGTACTGTTTAATATTCACAGGGTAGGCAGGGAAGACCAGGGGGTGGTTGGATCAATTTCTGTCAAAATCGTCATAGGTCCGAAAATAATTGTATCTGAATTTACAAAATACAAAATGATAGTTCAAACCCTTACCTAAAAATTATACATCGACAAAATTTTAAATAATACACCTTTTTCTCTAAATTGATTTTAGTAAAATAAAAAATTTTTATTACAAGCCTAAACTCCTTAGGAGTGTAGAGAAAGATGAATCAAAAAGTTTAAAATGTTTTTTATAGGTTTTGCACTTGTTAAACATTCCGAAGATCAGACTTTTAATATTTATAAGAAATTTTTTATTTACATATAGGGATTATATTTATTGATACCAATTTGTTTTAATATGGTTGGTTCACAGGCAAACTTGTATTTCATCATATGATTATAAGAAGCTTTGTATCATGATATACACTGATTTCCATCGCATTGTAATGTCTTTCTTTAGAAAATATCGAAACTTGATATTTGCAGCAGATTGCACAATATTTTACTAACTCTTTTACACTTAGAAGTTATTTAAAATACCTAATTATCAAAAGATTTTGCATTATATATTATAATACTACCCCCTTCTTCCCCCACTCTCCTCATTTCCTATACCACATCAAAATCAAAATTAGAATAACGGAATTCCAAATACAATGCCAATCATGAGTTATAACCCCTTCCCCTGTGGTAAAAGGTCCTTTTTAACATTGTTTGAATGTTTAAGCGTCCTTTTATTATTGGTAGTCGGTCTATAGATCTGGTCATAAGTAAGTATAATTATCATTAATATTAAAATTTCTTCGTATAATTAGGGCTAATTATTTATTCAAACTTTTCTGTTGAGGGGGGGAAGGGGGAGGGTGTTTCTTAATAAAAAAAATTTCATGATTAAACATTATTTTTTTTTCCAGCATAACATAAGGATTTTCATTATCTAGGCTTCCTGAGACAGATATCTTACTTTTCTTATATATTTTTTATAGGGCCTTGCTTTCTACTGTAAAAATTGGAATCATAAATGATAAGTTCGCTTCAGCTTGTTTAATTAATTTTAATATCCGTCGATGCTTGCTTTTAAAACTTTTATTTTAAATCTTTCTAAACCTCTTTTAGTCTTGAAAAAAACATTTAAAAAAATATGAAGGCATAGAAAATGTAAAAAAGAGATATTTTCCACCTTTCGATTTTTTAGGGTTGTATCTACTCCTTGAAGTACAACTCACAAAGTAAATATTTTATTCCATTAAATTTTCTCATCTTCAGCGATGATAGTAACACACAATCATTATTATCGCTACTCTAATAAAATTTATGATATTCGTCAGATTTATAAAATATAGCAACTGAACTGAAATGGAAATATACTATAACTTGTTTTAAAAATAGCTAAGTTATTTTTAATAATATATGAGGCATGTTTAATTCATTCAATTTTAGCTCTACTTATATTTATTATATTTCTATATCCATTTTTATACAATTTTGTTAAAAAAAACTCGTCAGGAAGCAAAAACTTAGCAAGAATCAATTAAGGAAATCAATATTCTATTGTTTTTTTCAATTCCTGAGTCACGATAGTGGCAATTTCATCATCAGAGATTACACACGAATTAAGTTCTGAGATGGATAGCAATTCAATTCGACAATCTACCTATGATGCTGAATATTGTTTCATGTCTTGTTGTGATAAGTTTTAACCTTGTCTTTTTGATTAAGCAATAAGAGAACTTTATACAAATTTATTATCAAAAAATGCTTATCAAGTCCATACTAAATCACTCACTAATTAAAGCATGCTTTGTCAAAGAATAATATAAATAATTTCCGAGGTCTAATTATCTGTTTGGTTAAATGTTTTAAATTAAACTTTTATTAGTGCCTTGCAAATTTTATTTATTTCGGCCAAAGCTCCATCCAAAATCTTTATTTATTTTTAAGAACCTAGACATAATTTTAAATTTTAGGCCTGAGCCTGTCCTGTCCCAAATTTAATTGAAAAATATAACTAAACGCATATTTAAACAATCAATTAATATAAAAATTTAATACCTTTACCCTAATCTTTAGAGAAATCTATTTTATTGCTTAGAATCTTTTTTATATTTTTTGAGTAAAAAAAATCAAAAGCCTTAACCCTATTTTAAAAAAAATATTTTTAGACCCAAGCCCGACTTTAACTTAATTTCAAGATTCAACTAAGTATGTCTAAAGGCCGATAAATAAAATTGTAATTTTCAACAAACTCCATTCCCAATATCACAACTGATGTAATTCATTTAAGATAATGCATTCGCGATTATGCATTCGTGCTAATGCATTCGCTATAATAAATTCGCGATAATACATTCGCTGCGGTATTCGCGCTAATGCATTCGCTATAATATTTTCACTGTATTATATTCGCTATAATGCATTCGCGGTAATGCGTTCACTATAATACATTCGCAGTAATGCATTCTCTATAATATTTTATATAGAAACCTTCAATTGACGGTTTTGGTTTTTCAGGTAGGACAAAATTATGGTGCTTCTATTAATCAAAAATATTGGTTTCTCTATAAAGACGTGGATCCCCAAATAGAGGTCAGCGCTTTTCGACACTAAAATTTATATTAAAGCCATTGCATACATCTAAATGTGTATCATTAGAGATTAATGAATTCTTAGTTATCTATATTAAAAAGATTTATGAATTAAATTTGTATAATAAAATAGAAATAAAATTATATAATTTTTAGAAGTGTTCCGAAACGTAGAACGAATAGGAATGTGACATATTTTTTACCCAAACAACTGGTTAAAACCTTTTCTTAATTAAAATTAGAATCAAGATTCTTCTCCGTCTTATTATATACATAAGGGTAAAGTTAAGAACCCTTCTATAGGCTAATTTAGGTAGCTGACATATAAAAAATTTAAAAATGGTTGGTTCAGTTTAGATTCTCTTTAATAACGGTTAATACATATTTAACAAATCGTTTCAGGTTTGGTTCAGCTGAGTTAATAATCAAGCTAAACCTAGATATGAACTAAAAAGATTTTACAAAAAAAACCATTGTAGAAACAAATAAAATCATCGAAAAATACAACAAATAAACTGAATTGTATTGTTAAAATGTTAATTTTGATATATTTTTCAAATCCCGCATATTTTTTGAAATCTATAATTGTCCCATATATAATATTTCTCTATAAAATCAAGATCTACAAAGTATTTCTCTACAATATAATTCTCTACAATATAATTCTCTACAAAATAATTCTCTATAAAAGTAATTCTTTTTAAAATCATTCTCTTTGAAGTCATTCTCTATAAAGGACGTTCTCTAAAAAATTATTCTCTATAAATGACATTCTCTATAAACGGCATTCTCTATAAAATCATTCTCTATAAATTAATTCTCTATAAAACATTCTCAATAAATTACATTCTCTATAATAATTGCTTTTTTCTCTAAAAATGTTTCTCTATAAAATACATTCTCTATAATGGTTTCTCTATAAAGACGTGGAACCATTTGAATAAACCGACAATTTTGACAATCTTATCCCTTCCACTAATGTTAGATCACTTTTTTCGACAAGGGTAAACAATTACAATAAAAATGCATTTCATTATTAAATTATTTGAAATCTAATATTTGCAACTGTTAAATAGAAATACCTATAGCGATCAGATCGGAATTATAAACTACTCCTAAAGCAGTAATCCAAGGTTCATTTAAATTAGACACTTTGTTAAAAGGATTTTGAAGAACATCATTATCTTTAATAACATATACGTTTTGTCGATGATTGAAAGTTACTAAAGGTTTCTTTTTACCTATGTTCCATATGGAAACAGTTCTGTTAATGAAATTAAAAAAATTATTTTAAAGGATTTATCTAGTCTATAATAATAAATGTCCTATTTTTGTTATTCAAAATCAAAACATATCAAATTTTTTAAAGCTGTTTGATTTAATCTAAGGATGTATCAATTTTTAAATACCCGATCGAGTCAGTTCGAAAATTCAATTTTTAAGAGTATCGGTTAGTGGCAGATATCGTTAAATAAGTCGATCCGATATATCAAAATACGGATAAAATATTGTACCATAGATTTCGTTAAAAATTTCTTAATTAATTATTGCTTTTAATTAGAATATATAATATCACATTTATATATATGCATATTTATTGTATTGGCATATTTGTGATGTTGTGAACGATTTTCTTTTTTGAAAAAAATGATAAGGGCGTTCTTTTATTTTTAACGAACTTCGAACGTGAACACGTTTACGTCCGTTCAATTTTAGAAAATCTTATTTTTATTCATTTGAAAATAAAAAGTATTTAATATTAATTCAAATTGTTTAGGAAAAGGGGTTATTTTTTAATCAGCTGTTTCCTTTATCACATTTGAAATTCAGAATCAGATGAATTAACGTTATCATGGTCAAAATTTAATAAATATTTCACAGTAATATCATATATTGAATAAACTAATTCTATCTTTACCAAATTTAAAATGTGTCCAAAAGGCATATCAGTTTCAGAATCATGATTATTAAAATAGATATGAAGTAAAAATCATTAAATAGTATATATTATATTCATAGATATAAAATAGTTATTATCTTTTAAAATTTATATATTTTTGATGCGATTATTTTTAAGCACATATCAAGGGTTTTATATTTCAAAAGTTAAGCACAATTTAAAAAAATTTATATATTTTATTTATATTAAATTAAATCTAAAAAAATTACTCATATGCGTTTATGAACGTGAACACTTTCCATTTTTTTAGAAATGTTTATAGAACTATTATTCGTGATTTACTTTTCCCTGAAGAGATTTCTTTTCCTACAAAGGTATTAATAAAGTAGGATTTACTGATACCGACAATCGACCAATATCAAACTGTATTGGTGCACCTCTAATTTAAACCTAAATTATTTCTAATTCTTATTACAATATAATTTTGGGAAAGGTCTAGGACTAAATATTCATAAAATGAAATACCCTTCATCCGTTCCAGTCATAAAATGGTCTTCATTGATGTAACGTATTCGATCAACAGAGCAACTTTAAATATTTATGTATATAATTTTTGAACATATCTTCATTATATTTATTAAGTGATAAGACTCTATGTCCAAAATTATGATTTTTTTAAGTGACAGTTGCATTTCAACATATTGTTGATATGCAAGTATAATTTTCTAATAATAGATTTAAAAACTATAATTAACACTGTCATAAATTATTTAATAATTTATTTTCCATTGATATAAAAAAAAATTGTTTCAAACTCTATACAGGGGTCCAGAAAATTAAAAACTATTTTCTAATCTGACATGTCGTTACCACTACAAAAGCTCTGGGTAGAATTTTTTTTCAACATAAACATAAGTTTTTTTTAGATAAATGGGTTAATCTAAGCCAGCTATTATCTCCCAAAAAATCGTGTCTCGATAACCAATAAAAATTAGTTTTTTTTAAATCAAATAACATCATCATATATTTAAAACGAAAGAAAAACAAGTCATCAATACCTAGTAACTAAGATTTTTTTCAAATATTAGCATTTGCATTAAAAAAAACAAATTGCAAATCAAATTTTTAACGAACCTTGTAACTGATCAAGAGAGCACATTATTTAAAAACAAAAACTAGTAAGTGGCATGGGGGTCGCATATGTAAAAAAAATTTCTAAATATCCATTCTAATGAAGAAGTATTATAATTAAAAGTTAAAATTTATTAATAAATAATAATAACAACTTAAATAGTTATTTAATTCCTCTCAATAATTTCAAAAATACTACATACGGGGTCTTGCAGTAGTGATGAGGATATGACATTTTCCTAAAATGGAAAAAACTCGTTTTTGAAAGATCAATTTATAAAATTATAGATTTAATATAAATAAACCCGGGAAAACGATAGACCAATTGCGTCTCTTCCACTATCTTCCACAAATGAGCTGCAGAATCTCTGCCGCCACTTGTCACGCATCGTTCGCTGATAAAACTGTCAATGTCGGTAATAGCTTCTTGATGACCAAATCTAGGATACGATGAAATGAAAGGATATAACGAAATAATATTGGTAAAAAAATGAAGTAATGAGTTTCTCTTTATAATGTTTTATTATTTACCCAATAAATAATAACACAATTTGTTGTAAATTTTTTTTTGAGAATTGTTAATAATTTATAGTTGATGATCAAATATGCCAGCCTGGACGGAAGGCGTTACATTCGCTTAAAATTCCTATAGATTTATGAAATAAAGTATGTAGGATGATACCGGAGTTATAACAAGTCTGAAATTATTTGAGGAAAAGAGTTAACTTCCTTTATATTAACCGAAAATATACAACTATATAATGCAGATGCTACTAAAAAGAATTATATGGAAAAAATTATTTGAACCCTTAAAAATAAATTTAAAAAATAACAAGTAATAAAGGTTTTTTTTTAAAAATTAACTGTCCCAAGCCTGATTATAATATTCGCTATAACCATTCTTCTAGTAAATACCTTATACATATATCTAAAACGAATTATTGTTAATCGATTCGTATTTTACGAATAACAAAATTATTCGATTCGAAGATTTGAATAAGGAAATTATATATCTGTCGAATAATTTTTTATCTATTATTCGATCGAATTATTAATATAATATAAAATTATATGAAATAATTTGTAAATGTTGGAAATTATTTGCAAATATTTGAAATTATTCGTAACTATTTGAAATTATTCATAAATATTTGAAATTATTTTTAACTATTTATAAATTTTTTTCAATAACATGTTCCTTAGGAAACTTTTTATTATTTAACTTTTTTTCCCACAGCTATAATATCACTGTGTGACAAGAAAAATGGGAGAAGAAAATAAAAACAAGTTTTGGTGCAGAATTTGACGGTGAGTTCGAATCCGTTTTCCAAATTTTCCCTACATGTCAAGTTTTAAAAATATTACCGTATAAAGACAACTTTTCGAAATCTCAAAAATGGTAAAATTTAGGTCTTTATACGGATATATTTTAAAAAGTATCGATCCCTGAAAATTGGTGATAGTGTTAAACTTATATTTCTTTATAAATTTACTAATTTTTTATCGATTGGTTTTTGAGAAAAATGGTAAAGAATTTCGTTTTGGGGGTCTTAAGTTTTCAATTTAAATTACTATCAAAATTATTAACTTTAGAAGATAAATTTTATATAATTTTGCTTCAAATATGCTCAAGATTATATATTAATTCTAATTATGTTTCAAAAGTACTCTATGCCATGAAAATTCAACCAAGATCTATAAATTAAAAAAGTCGGTACAGATATTTTCGAACTTTTTAATTTCACTTTTATTGAATTTTCTCTGCATAAAGCATTTTTAAAGCAAAATTAAGGTATTATATATCTTTTTTAGTTGTATTTAGTAATATTTTATGCAGTTATGATCAATTTATACCAAAATCAGATATCTGTATCCACTTTTTTAATTTGTACTCTTTTTGAATTGAGCATTTTTGAAGCAAAATTCATTTAAAATGCAATAATTGGTAATTTTTTCATATTTTTTATTAATATTTATCTTTTTAATCAATTTATATCAAAATATATGATTTTCCAATGGAGTACCTTGAACCCGTAATATGGGCAATAAATAATAATGCCAAATAACGAGAAGGAAGAAAGGAGAAGAATTATTTTTTTTCGCGCTTAATTTTTCATAAGCATTTAATTTCTTTCATTAATTTTTTTTAAATTGGATTTTAAATAATATTCAAATTCCCTCCTTATATAATATTCTACAAAAAATTAATGCCGAGGTCCCCTTGTTTAAAGTGTGTCTCTAAATTTTGTTACATCTGTGCGGGATATATATTGCCGGCACAAAAATGTCTAATTTCTCCAATCATTCAAAGGATTTATGAAATTTATTACAATATTCCACTGCGATTTGGATATACCATTTGCCCCTAATTACATATGTAAAACATATAATTCTTTTAATATGGGTAAATGGAAAACGGTCATATTTGCCTTATTCGAAACCTGCATTTTGGCACGTAGCAAGAAATCATTCGTGGGATTGTTATTTTTGTTCGATTAGTACAGGTTTAACAAAAAAAATAAGAAGAAAATTCGTTATCCTAAAATTTCGTCGGTTGTTTATCCGGTAAAATATAATATGCATACAACAGTTCCTTTTTTTAATAGTTTACAGCTGGAAAAATTACGTGGCCAGGACAATGACAATATTGATCTTGAGTATCATCCCGAAGAAGCCATTTATGTTACAAGAGCAACTAAATGACATAACCAGAAATTTACAACTTTCAAAAAGAAAGTCCAAATTTTTAGCCTCAAGGCTTAATGATTTAAAATTTAAAAAAATGGGGTTCGAACTTCACACCGATTCCGTGGAGCATCGTTTAAAAATTCATTCTCTTACGAAAATTTTTTATACTATTCCAACAATCTAGGTCAACTTTCTTTACAACTTAATATTGAATTGGTGCCCGATGAATGGCGCTTGTTCATCGATTCAAGCAAAAACAGCTTGAAAGCAGTTTTACTTCATAACGGAAATTCTAAGCCATCAATTCCCATCACCTATTCCAACCAGTTAAATGAATCATATGAAAATATGAAATATTTATTGTTAAAAATAAATGATTTCATTTACGAATTTAAGATATGCTGCGATCTCAAAATGTTCGCAATCCTGACGGGCCTTCAGCTAGGCTACACCAAGCATTCGTGTTTTTCTCTGGAATTCCAGAGAAACTCTAAAACATTATACAGTATCTGAATGGGAGGATCGTCCCAACGTCCTTGAAAAATACGCATAAATATTTCGCTTGTTTCTAAAAATAAGATTTTGTTGCCTCCGTTGCACATAAAATTAGGACTAATCAAAAATTTTATCAAAAAATTGTCCGAGGGCCCCACGATATACCTTAGAAATTTTTTCCCCAAGCTTTCCCAAGCAAAAATAAAAGAGGGGATTTCCAAATATGAAAACTCATGAAGGACAGTTTTTTTGAAGATGAATTGTTACTCATTGAATTAAAAGCATGGGAATCTTTTAAATGGATATGCAGATCGTTCCTTGGCAATCATAAATCAGCCGACTATCGTGAGAAAATTGATGACCTATTAACAAATTATAAGGAAATGGGATGCCGAATGTCCCTCAAAATCCATTTTCTTCATTCCCATAAAGATTTTTTTCCTGATAACTTAGGTGCTGTGTCAGAAGAAATGGGGGAGCGGTTCCATCAACAGATAGAAAATCTCGAAAAGTTTTATCATGGCAAGAATCGTATAAATATGTTGGCGGACGCTGGAGTATCTTTTTTGAAGATAAATCATCAACTTCATATTCGCGGAAATATATTTAGATTTACCATTAAATGTTTTTAAATTCGATAAATTTTATGTTATTGTTTAATTTGTTTTAAATTCAATAAATATATTGTATATTACAAGTTAAATCCTATATAATAATGAAGAAGGGGGTGGGACAACGGACCGATAAAAGGTTTATTAAAATAAAATATGAAATAGGTTAGCTTAGCGTAATATATTTATTTAAATATGAGAAATATAACTATTTCATTTAAAATAAATTGTTTGGGAATCGTACCGTGTGCAGTGTAGCGAAGAGAACGAAAGCCACAATAAATAAATATATTAAATGTAAGCTATATTAAAAAATTTTTTATAAATAAAGGTAAATTTAAAAAATATAGGTTTTTTAAAAATTGAGTAAGGATTTTATAAAAAAAAAATGTATAATAATAATAAGGAAGGTTTGCTGCAAAAATTAAGATATTTTTTTAGTTGTAGGGATCATTAGAACCGAAGTTATAAACCTTCAAAAAGTGCTAAAAATGACCTTTTTGGCCACTTTAACCTAAAATAAATATAAAACCTGACGTGCTAGAAAAAAACTGACAGCGGATTTAGAATATGCATAAAAAACTGTCTTAAAACATGTTTATTTTATTTTCTCCCAAAAAATCAAGTCGAAATTTGTCAGTGTATTTTTTTAAATTTTAATAATCCATTTTTCATTATTTTCAAAGAATTTAATTTTCAAATCGAATATTCGACGAATAAAGTTTTTATTATTAGCACGAATACGAATAAGGAAATATTCGATTCGTACAAATATGAATAATACGATTATTCAATTAGAAAATAGGAATCGAATACGAATAAAGCAAATATTTAATTCGTATTTCTTTGAAGAAAAAAGAGAAAACTACCTAAAATATTATAGTGACGCGAGTTTGAGCTCTTATTAATTTTAATAAAACCAAAAATTACTATTTTAAATTTTTTTAAATATTATTTCTTTTTATAAATACTCATTCATATTCATAATTTATGTAAAAATGATCAAATTTTTTAAAGGTAAGGAATAAGGATCAAGCTCATAAAAATCTTACCTCTTTCAGACATTGCTTATCCATACAAATTTATATAAAAATGTTTGATAAACTAAATACTTCATATATAAATTATGCAGTTCTATTGAAACTCAATAGGATAAATTGAGCAAAAGTTTCCATTTTGCTGAAAAATTTTTCATTATTTTTAAAGGCATTTTTGATATGTTAGATTTAAAATGATGTTAAATCTTTATCTAGAATGAAAAAAAGCTAGTAAATTACTAGAGGTTGGTTTGTGACCGAAGGACTCGCACGGAAAAAACTTGTGCAAAATAATTTGACAAGTAAAGTCTGATATTTTTTAAAAAAAATTAAGCTTTAAACAAGGCAAATTTATGTGTATTCCCTTCATAAAAAATAATTACGAGAGGCTGCATAATTAATAAAAAATTATTTCACGAGTCATGCAAACTAATTTAATGACCAGTTCGGTTTGCACCGGCCTAAAATAATTACTAAGTTATATTTAAGATTAAGAGAGTTAATGATGTTATATGATCTAGTGTGAACGATGGTTTGAAAATATTTATAAGGCAATTATTTTTCATTTGTAATAATATATATTTTTTAAAGTGTTTCTGCATTTTTATCCTTTATATAACGGTAAAATGATTTACAATGTTTCCACGTGACTCATTAGATCCAGATCCCATATTTTAACAAACCGATCAAAAGAAGCACTAAAGAGCTGATGAGATTTATGCCTAAACACTAGACCCTAATTAAAATAATATTAGTATAAAAATAAAACAATTTTAGGGCATATATATAAGTTTATATCATCCAAAATCAATAATATATTTTTCTACAACCCTATTCTCATTTTATATTAGTTCTTAATATTATGAATAGTTTAAAGAGATATGCAAATTCCGGCATGTACCCAGCTCGAATGATCTTCGGGCCGGGCCTATTTGTAAAAATTAGTTTCGGTTCTGCCTGGGTCGGGCCTAATATTTTTTAAAAAATTCAAGCCGGGCGGAGCTTAAATTTTCAAATATGATATCCTTAAATTTTGCCAATTAAATAGATATATTATAAAATTTCTGTAAGAAACAATGCGCTAATATTTTTGTTTGTAAAATTTTTTAGATTTAAATAAATTCGGGGCTGGTAGGGAGTACAAATTTTTAATTTTCGGGTCGGGTTAGTTGGGACAAATATAAATAATTGTTCGGGATCGGTTCGAAAAAATTAGGCCCGATTAGGTCACTATTTAAATTAATTCTTCAAAAATAAGTATCTACGAATATCTCTTTCTAAATATACATTTAAATATCTTATTAAAATTTTAAAATAATACTGGTTCCTCATTTATTATTATTTATTAAACTTAGATGATTTATTTTTTTAAAAAAATTATCTATCTAGTCTGTGTTTTTTTATTTCCAGAGAGTTTTAAGGCTCGGTTTTAAGTTTAAATCGTTTCATCTAAAATAATTTTGGTTGTATTTTGTAAGAAAAATAGAAAACAAAAAAGAGAATTGGGCCCCTTTGATTTTATTAGTTTAAAAGGAAGTTAAGCTTTTTCCCAGAATGAACATGAAAACTATAATTGGGAAAAATTGTACTCCGCTTCATTGATATTCGACCAATCTTAATTTTAGCTAAAATGATTTTAATTAAAAAAATAATTAAAACTTAAAATATGTAATTCTATTCTAAATGATCGCACTGGTATGCGAGAAGATCATTATTTTCGCCCAGCTATTTTAAAATTTTGATCCTGGGATATGGATTTCCATATAAATTAAAATCCTTTCTTTTAGCGGTGCTTTCTAAGCTTGTGTTTGAGTAAACCCAAAATTATTTTCATTAGGATTGAGATATCGAGCATAGTTACAAATTGATATTGAGATCCTTTAATGGTTTTTTGATTTTGCAGTATGACAAGGATATAGATCTTACTCGATGCCTAATCTTTCGTGTCCTAATATATGAATTGAGAGGATCAGTACTAGAGGTCTGCTTTGGTCGGAACAGGCAGGCGGGTTAAAAAATTTTTTTTAACAATGGGCTGGCGGGTTAAAAAAAATAAAAATTTTTATTTTAATTAATAAAAAATTGTTTTTACGAACTTAAAAAATAAAAAAGCCTTTTTCTGGTATAACTTTTTATAAAATAAATCGACTTTTTTCTTCAATTAAAAAAACTTTTTCTACAAATAAAAACAAACTTTTTTCTATAAACAATTAAAATCTCCTTTTATGGTAATGAAATAAAACTTTTTTCTTAAAATAAATAATTTTTTAGATATTGAAAATTAAAATTCCCTTTTTTGGGTATAATGAAATTACTCCATTGTATTATTTTATTTTAGTAATGATTGTTTATCTTTTATTGCCCTTTTTATTTTTATTTTCTTATATAATATATAAATTTTATTTTTTATAACATAATTTTAACAAAATAATATTTTTAAATTTAATTTTAAATTATGAATAAAGAATATATAGATAAGAAAATAAAAAATAATTTTTATAAGATAAAAAAACAATGAAGATAATAATAATAAACTTAAATCGTCTATGGAAACAATTTAAAATTATTTTTGATGAAAATGACAAAAATCTAGATTGGATTTGCTGAAATGATTGTGATTCCATCTTTAAATATAATAGCAAAAGTGGCACCTCCTTCTTCCTTCGGCATCAATGTTCATCTGCAAATTATGAAGATTTGATAGATAATAAAAAAATAACTGGATATTTTGAAAAAGACCATTCTCAATTAAACAAAACGATAAAATCTGGTCTAATAGCGAATTTTGTAGAATATTGCGCTAGAGACATTAGGTATTTTAATTTAATAAATTATTCTTTTATCTTTTTTAGGCCATTTCAAGCAGTTCAAGGACCTGGATTTATAAATATTTTACAAAGATTTGTCGACTTAGGGGCAACATATGGTAAATTGGATGTTAATAAGATCATCCCTTGTGCTACAACAGTTAGCCGCAACGTATCCAAATTGTAGAAATGATAAAAAATTCCATTTGCTCATGTACTACCGATATGTGGTGTGAAGAATTTACCAAAACCGATTACATATCTCTATCAATCCATTATATACAAAATTGGAAATTAGAAAAAAAATTTATTTTTATTTCAAAATTTCAAGATGAAAAAAAGATTTTTTCAAACTCATCTTTGTTATGGATCAAGGAGCAAATATTAAAAAAGCTTTGGAAGGGTAAATTTTTTATTAAAATTTAATTATTAAGTAGATATTATAATAATTTCTGAGAGATTTTGTATACACCTAAAGAAAAAACATTCATATTTAAAGAACTATATTTTCCTTTTATTTTTTCAAATATTAGGTTTAATAGACTAAACTGTTCAGCGCATATGCTGAACACAATACTTCGTAATAACTTCCAGTCAACTTTTATTTTAGAAAATGCTCCCGAGATTAATAATATTTTGGTAACTGCAAAATCATTGACGACTTATTTCAAACAAAGTGGCAACGTAAAATATCTAAACAAGAGGTTACTACAAAATATTGATATAAGATGGAATACAAAGCATAATATGTTGCAAAGCATTTATATAATGTATGATGAGATTTTTTTATTCATACAATCTCGTGATATGACTGAAAAAATGGGATCTATGGGAAAGGAAGATTTAAAAACACTGATAGATTATTTGGAACCATATAAAGATGCAACTAATGCTCTTGAGGGTGATTGCAGGCCTACACTACAGAACGTTCTTATATGGTATGAAAATTAATATTTTGGGATTTATGCCCATTTTTTCTTTATTTATTAAAAAATTAGGTATTATCTTCTACATGAGGATAATGAAATAAATATGAATATAATGGAGAGAAAAACAAAATGCGAAAAAGAATTAGATATAATAAAGAAAAGAGCTAAAAATTTTATAATTGAAAAATTTAAATTCATTTGCTCCATAAAGTTTCAACATTTTTAATACCAAAGTTCCGACAAATGAGGATTTTGTCGTCGGAAGAAATTAATGAAGTAGAAAAACATATTGAAAACTTGTTAGATTTGATTTGCATAGAAGAATGTAACATTGACGTAGATGAAAATTTGATTTTACTTATTTCCCCAAAAGCAAAGAGAATCCAATTAAAAGGTATTAATAAATTATAAATTCGTTTAGCTACTTATTAAATGTAATATTTGAAATAAATAGCATCCATATCAAAATTAAACCCCAACAGATGGGAGGATGAGGTTGTTACTGAGGATAGTACCGTATATAATGACATAACAAAATATTTAAATCTTAAAACCATTTTTGATAAGTATAATTTAGCATAATTTTAAGATGCATATATTATAATTAATATAAATTTATTATTATTGGTTCACTTTTATTTAAAGATTTCAATTGAGGAAGAGGATATACTTCAAAAGGATGTCCTACTTTGGTGGAAACGACAAGAAAAAGATTTGCCAAAGCTATCAAGATTAGCAAGAAAAATATTCGCAATTCCTGCAACTAGTGCTACTTCTGAAAGAGGATTTAGCATTGCCGGAAGGTTTTTAGAACAAAGAAGAACGTGTTTGAATCCCGAAAATGCATTATTATTTTTGCATTATAATTACTTATAATATTTATTTTATAAATATTTTATTTGATAAAATAAATTATCCATAATTTAAATTGAATATTTTTTAAGCTTAATATAATAATTTCCTAAATTATAAAACTTATAGAGATGTAATGTTGAAACTATTTTCATTAGATGCTTAAAATAGCGGGCTTGGGTAAAAATTTTTTTATAAATAATGGGCGTCGGGGTAAAAAATTTCTGACTAATGGGTGGGCGGGTGGGTAAAAAATTTCTGACTAATGGGCGGGCGGGTAAAAATTTTTAGATTAATGGGCAGGTGGGCGGGTATATTTATTTTGAAAACTATGGGCGGGCTGGGTGGACAGGTTAAAATATTTTTTAAACATTGAGTGGGCGGGCATATTATCCAAAAACACGCCCAATGCAGACCTCTAACAGTACTTCGTCGAGGATATCTTGATATTTAACAAATTTATTATATTATTTAAATGTAGAGCTTTCCTAGGCCTTTTGAATTTGTACAACCCAATGCCATTATATTACATGGAAACTTAAAGGTTCTTTGTAAGCAATCAAGGTAGAAGTTTTCAATTCATGTTCTTATTACCTTATTAATTTATATAAAATTGTATTTTTTGCTGATTGTATTCCTATATTTTCTTCTTTTGTATGTTGTCAATTGGATTATACTTAGGCCACCCCATTATTTTTATATTTCTTTAGTTTGCTTTTAAAATATGTAAAATCCTTAAATTATCTTTGTTAACGATGGCTGAACAATTGGAGGCATTAATACTAAAATTTATGCCAATGTTTTGTGCTTTAACCAGTAAGGTAAACTGTATAAAGAGAAAAAATTATTTGCAACAAAATTTTGGCTAGCTTTACAATTAAAAGTCAAAATATTTTTTCTGAAAATTTTATCAATGTAGTGCTTAATTCTATATTATTTTAATCCCTTTGGTTGACAGTACAAAAAAATCATTAGCAAAATAATCAAAAATTGCCATCATGCCTGAATGAAAAATATAGAAAGAATACGTCCACCCTAACTGTCCTTCAGAAAAGTTTTGTGAACCAAGAAAAGAGTTATAAACAAAATGAACTAACTGCCTTAAGCATTAAATTAACCAAGCTTTTGAAACACTAATTCTGAAAAATTTATAGCAAATTTTTAAAGCTTTATTATTATATTTTATTGCTTTAATTTTGAAAGATGATTAAAAGTAGAGCCTTAAAATCTAGACCCTAAAAACCATTGAGATTTTATACCTGAACCTAACCCTTTTTTTAAATGAGTTTAGGATTCAAAAATTATTTTATTTATTCTCTCAATAATATTTTGTTTTATGGCAAATAACCATTAACAAAAAAAAAATTTTTAAACAGACGTTTCCATTATTTTAACAAAATTTGTGGAGGAATTCTTCACTGAACTTAGACACCCTTATTTAAAATGAGGGTTTACAGCCCTGGTCAAAAAAGGAAAAATATACTGTTAAATTTCCAAAATTGGCTTAAGATAAAGGGTAATATAAATGTGGTTCATGTTATTAGTTAGTGCCTGTTTTATTTCTCCAAGCAATTTTGCCAACCAAAAAGTTACAGAATTATAAACCAAATAAAAATAATGGTATCACACTTACTCAAACTTCTGAAAATATTAACACTGAAACTAATATCAATATTTAGTGTATTTGAATGCTTCCAATTTGTTTAATTTAAAGTAAAACATATTTTTGACAAAACAATTAAAATTGCAAAGATTGGCATTATGCTAGAATGAAAATTATAGAAGCACTGAATATATGAGTGCATCAATATGTAATGCCTGATTAGTACTTACGATTTTATTAATCAGTTTCAATCAATAAACATTATATTTTAAATTGTTATTCAAATCAAATAAATCTAATTTGATTATGGTGTTTCTGGTTTAAATCAGAAGACAGAGTTTTTGAAAAGTTAAAAGATAAGGACTATGAAGCTCTTTAATGGGTGAAGATAGTTGTCAGAATCTTGGAGAATTAAAGTGAACCAAGATAGTTTGGCAAAAAATGAAGTAGATAGCTTAACTTGATAAATGTGGAAATAGAATTATTAAAAGAAATCTGTGTAAGGAAACAATTGCCATTAAACTGTGGAAAATCTAATTAAAAGTAAAAAAATATTCAATGAAATGTTTAGATTTTAATACAAATGGATTTAGATTTAGAACTTAATTATATATGAAGGCTAGGGATTTAAAGATAAGCAGGAATTTGGGAGGAAAAAAAATAAGTAAGTGGAAGATTGTTCAGGGAATGATGTCAAAAAAATTCAACAAAAGAAAGTTGAATGACAGGAGAACCAAATAATTATAAAAATTTAATATTTGTTTACTGATATAGTGTTTTTGTGTCCTTTAAAAGAATGAATGTGTTCCAATGATAATGGGTCCCAAATATGTATTATTTTATCTAATCCACCAGATGCCTTATTTTAATATATAATTTATTTGGGTAAGAATGAATATATTTACCAAAAATTTGTTATCAAAGGAAAGAGCCAAAGCTATAATTTGATTTTTATGTTTTTTGTTTTGCACTGGATCACTTTTCTTATTTCCAGGTCTTATGATACCAAGTCTTTTCATGGATTCAAGATCCCCTATAAAAAATATTATTTAATTAAATTACAAATATAGTAAATTTTAGCAAATAGATGCAGTTATATATTTACATTTAATTATAATGCCATCTTTAGAAGAGCTAAATATATATTTAACATCAGATGATATGATTGCACATGTTGGGGTTAATTTATGACCCCGTTTTAATATTATATTATCTTTAGTTGGAAGAGTATACTAATATATACATGTTCTAAAATTTATCTTATAAATTTGTAAAAGGTACTTTATTTGCTATATATCTTTGAAGTTTCCCTGATTTTTCCAGCTTAATACATATTAAATTTATAATTACTTATGTTAAATTTAGTTTACCATTTCTTCAGTTAATTTATTGCTGATTACTGAGAACCTTGTTTTATCATCCTCAATATGGTCTTCTATAAATCAATATATATACATAATAGTGAAGAAATATTTAAAAACCTTCTTGTTCAATCTGTGATATATATTCTTTAGCTATTCTAAGTCGTTTTTCTTGAGGAGTTTCTAAATCTTCTTCTGATGAATCATTACCTTCAATTTTGTCAGCAATATCCTCACTGTATAATATTGTATATTATGTATATCTCAAATTTACTCGGAAAAGGATTCAATTTCTTCATCATCTTTGTCTTTATGAATTTTTCCTTTATTCTTTACTTGTTTTTTATTTTTTGACTTTTTAAAATTTTGCGACATAATTAAAGGCGCAGATTATCGAATTTATGACAGACCAAAAAAACATGAGGCCTGTCCATTACCTCATGGTCATATAATTTCTTTTTGTTTAATATTCATTTGATGCAAGTGAAGAATACCTAGTGTAACCCTGTTATCAACAACACTAGCTTAGAGCTCAATTTATACCGATATATCAAATAACTAATCAAAATTTAACAAACTTATATACATTGTTGTGATGATTTAATGAAACATATTGACGATTAAATTAAAACCCATCCATATAAAATTTTAAACTTTGCAAAAACAATTAAAATATAGACAAAGCATTATTAAAATTTATTTTATTTATTCCTTTTGTTATTTTAATAATATTTACAAAGATTATAATTTTATATGAATGTGTTTTTATTTAATCGTCAATATTCATTAAATCATCACTACACTGCATAACTTGATATATAACACCTTTAATTTGATTAGTCTTTTATCCTTGATACGTGCATTTGATATCTGATATTATAGCGCCTAGCTCTATTACTAGTATTGTGAAAGAGCCCAATTTGAGTCGATTTCTCAAAATGTTCCGATTAAGATTTTACCTTTTTAAATAATATTATGTAAGCATCGATATTTGTCAAATAGATGGGCAAACATTTCAGCAAGCTATAGTGCAATTAATAATTAATTGATATAGAATAAAATTATTCTAGTTTTTGGATTAGTTAATACATTAATTGATTAATATTTTTTATTTAATTCTATAACTGTAGATTTAAAATTATAATATCAATATTTAACTTAGAATCGTACAAAAGTGGAATAATTGGAATATACTTAGCTGATTTATAGATAAATTTAAGGTTAAAAGGCATAACAAAGGAGGATGATATACTTAGTTTTTTATTGGCATATTTTGATCTGGAGCGGCTATATTCCCAATCAAAATTGATAGAATTAAAATGTAAAGATTTTGTTGAGACTAAAATAAGCCATTTAAGAAGATAATAAATTGTTCTCTAATCGAATAAAGTTTATTAGATGCAGATGAATGCCAAATAAATAAATAATTCTGGTAGGCTCAAAGAGTTATTTTAGTATATAATCAGAGTTGGGCAGTACCGCGAATACTTGTATCTAAGATACAAGATCCTTTTGTATCTTGGACTCAGTATCTTTTTGACATTTTTAATAAGATACTAGTATCTGTATCTAAGATCCTTTATTTTGAAAAGAATCTTGTATCTTTTTCATTTTCTTGACAAAAGATACAGATACAGATTCTTTTTAATATTCATGTTTAAAACATTTACATATCACAGAATATAACTTTATTTTCTTCGTGGAATCATGTATTATTTTACTTATTTTTTTCCCGCTTATTTTAAATATATCGATAACCAAAATTAGCTGGAAATTTTACAGTTCACAAAGATAGAAAGATTAAAAATAACAACACCAAAACTAGATAAGTAAAGAATATATATTTTATATGTAATATTTTTTAATTTGTAGAATGATTAACAATAACAGTCATGAAGAAGTTAGTGAAGAAGATGAAATTATGGAAATAGGTTCTCCTGAATCAAATCCGAATCTTAAAATTCTAGATGGAAAATTTTTTAAAGTTATTCTAGTGGAAAAGTACAAGGTTCAAGCTGAATGCCAAATTTGCCCAAGTAAAAAAATTTTAAAAGGCTCAACAAATTCCTCAACAAATTTTGTTAAGCACATTAAGGTAGGTATATTTTTTTATTACATATAATTATTGACATAATAATACCTCCTTAAGTCCCTCTTAGATAATTGTTATTTAAAGGATTTTGATTATCAAATTAAAATAATTTTGGATATATATTTGTTTTATAAGATGAGATAATTTTCTTGCAAAATCATTACTTATATATATAAAATATGTAAAATGGTGTACATTTATATTACTCATAACAATTTTTCTTTTATACATTTTAAATTGATTAAATTTTGTAAATAAATACTGTAATATAATTGTACTTATATTTTAAATAAATAAAAGTAACAAATAAAGTTAAATTCTACCATAAAGTTCTCTTATTATAGGAAATATTTAAGCAACAATTGATATATAACATTAGATAATTTTAAATGGCTCTTAATAAAATAATTATAATAAAGTAGTAATGATTTTGCAAGTATATTTTAAAAAAATCTGAAAGAGATTCAAATGATATTTATAAAATGATAAATTAACTAAATATGATATTACAAACACAGAATAATATATTAGAAAATAAAACTAATTTAAAAAATACATAAATATCATAATTCACAAACAAGTAATGTTAAATACTTATTAAAGATAATGAATAAAATAAAACTAAACTAGTATATATATTTTTTTTATTAGAGATGCCATTTAGGCATATATGCTGAATACAAGCTATATTTAAAACAGCACAGAAAAAAACCAGCAAATTCTAATATCATAAAAAACTAGTATATCAGAATCCTTTAATGCAATTAATAAAATAAAACCGACAATTACCCAAAATAAAATTGATAAATTGATATGTGCATTTATTGTCAAGGGTTTACACCCTTTGAGCCTAGTTGAACAGCCTGAATTTGTTACAATGATGGAAGGTTAGATAATTTATATATAGATAAATATTATGATACTCTAGATATTCTTAGTAACATTGGTTCATTTAAAATTTTTTCGAGGAGGTCTTTGCAGAGAAGAATAGAGGAAATTTTTGAAAATCATGTACATACTTTAAAAAGTACTTTAAAAGCTCAATCATATATATGCACCACGGCAGATTTGTGGTCTACAAAAACCCGTAGTTTTATGGGAATAACAGCTCACTGGGTAATATTAATATCTTATTTAATTTTTTTAAATAAATTATTTTAAAGATAACCCGAGAAACCCTTGAAAGGTAATCAAGAGCCTTGGCATGTAGAAGAATGCCCAGCACCCATTCATTTGATAAAATTGCTGAGTTATTGGAAGAAGTCTATAGAGAGTATGGAATTTCTGATAAACTAATTGCTACCGTCACAGATAATGCATCCAATTTTGTCAAGTCATTTAATGAATATGGTGTGAAATTAAATGTTCTTGACAATGATTTTGAGGATGATCTATTAGAGTTTAATGAAATCAATGATGGTTAGTACAAATCTTTATCTTTAGATGATATAAACAAAATAATATTACCCAGGCACATCAGGTGTGCCTGCCACACTTTGTCCTTAATAGCAACTAAAGATATTATTTCATCAGTATCGAGCTCAAAGAATCTTGGAAGGATTCATTATGGAGTAATGGGGAAATGTACAAAATATTGGAATGCATGTGGAAGGCCCAAATCTTCTGAAAAGATAAGGGAGATAACAGGTGGTTATCAGCTAAAGGTTCCATGCGTAACGAGGTGGAACAGTTTGTATGATAGTATCACTTCATTACTAAAATATAGATCAAATTTAAAATTATTATTTGAATCAATTGATTGTCCTATTTTAAAAGAAATAGATATTGTATATATGGAAGAATATTGTAAAGTTTTAGGCCCAGTAGCAATTGCATTAGACAAACTACAAGGGCAGAGTAGTACATTTTATGGGGAATTAGTGCCTATATTATTTGTAATTAAAAGGGACTTGGGTAAACTTGAATGTTACAATATTGTCTCCCTTTATTAAAAGCTGTTCAAAATGCTATGGAGAAAAGATTTGGAAAATTTTTTTCTTATGATAATAAATATAATGAGGCCTTTTTGGCATCATTATCACATCCATATTTTAAGAATCTATGGATTGAATCTGATGATAAAAAAAATATTTTCAAAAGATATTACTAAACGAAGCATTAGAGCTAGCACAAATAGTATACCATCAAGCTCAGGATGTATCACCAATAGATATAATATCTAATAAAGAAAATGATGATTATTTTTCTTTTAGTGATGCAAACGTTGTTGAATTCAATAATACAAACAACGTTGAGCTTGAGGTTTTAAATTATATTAAAGCCGGCGAAAAACACTCGAAATGCTTAAATTTTATCCTTTATTAATTAAGGAAATTTTTTTAAAATATAATACTGCCATACCCTCATCAGCTCCTGTTGAGAGGTTATTTAGTTTTGGCACAATGTTAAATACGCCAAAACGACAAAGACTTAATGATAAATTATTTGAAAAATTGATTATTTTAAAAAATAATTTGATTTAATTTTTTTATTTATTTGCAAATTTTCAACTCCCATTAAATATACTACTCTCCCTTCCGTGTTTATGTTATTAATGGGCAAAAACTAATATTAAAATGCCTATTATTATATTATAATAATTAACTCATTAATAAATATTTTATTAATTATTGTAAATATTCATTCTTATATGCGTATGTTATGTTTTTCACAAATAAATAATAAAAACTCTATTTATAAACTATTCTAATTTAATTGGTAATGAAAATTTAAAAGTATCTTGTATTTAAGATACTCTATTTTAGCAAAAGATACAAGTATCTTTTATCTTGTATCTTTTTGATATTTTGAAAAAGATACTAGTATCTGTATCTAAGATTCATTTTTTTATAAAGAATCTGTATCTGTATCTAGATTCTTTTTCCGGAGGACCTGCCCAACTCTGTATATAATATTGATAAAAAATTATGAGACTAATTTTTAGCAAGCATTGATTCAAAAAGTGGAATACGAAGTTCGGGGTCGGTTTAAAAATATAAACACATCAAATGTTACATTTATCCAAATATTAGATTTGGCAGGAGATGGTAGCAGACAAATTTCTCCAAAATATATTGACATTTTTTTTTTTGGGGGGGGGGGGGGTAGATATTTATTTAAGGGAGGGGGGTAGGAATTAATTTTTTGGGGGTATATATTAATTTTTGAAGTGTAGTTTTAACTTGTATTATAATTTTTTTTAAGCCAATAATTGATAAGATAAGATTATGATTATCTTTGATTTTATTCTTACATAAATTTAAAAAAATGAGATCCGTCAATT